GAGGGACCAGGGTTCGAATCACCACTTAGCCATGAAGCTCACTGGGTAGTAAGTCCCTGCCTCTTAGCCAACACTACCTCGCAAGGTTGTTGCGTGCCCAGCTTTGGCTGGGGAGGGCGGGATATAAATAAATTATTATTATTATTATTATTATTATTATTATTAAATGAGGAGAGGGAGAGAACCACCTTGAGCTCCCTGGAGAAAAAGTTGGGGTATAGTTCAACGAAATAAATAACTTGGTTTTCCAGCAACTGGTAGTCAGAGGGATGCCCATCTCTTGAGACCAGAGGTAGCCGCCATTTTGTCCCACAAATTGTTTCTAGCCTTTTAGATCTGGTGGCAGATTTTCCACCCCAGGCGACGCCAAAATTTAGCACCCGGTACAGGCAAATGGTTTGTGCCCCCCCTCCCCAGTCCTAAATGGAGGTGTCGGCCAACACATTTCTCTGATGACCAATCGGAAGGGTCCGTGCTGCCTGCCAATCACAGGGCCTGATTTTGTTCCCATGAGGTTTCCCAGTCCCTGGTCTCCATCCTCCCCTATATCGAATTGTGCTATTTAAAGAATAGCATCTGATTGCTTCCTGCCTCCCTTCGGTGACCTGCAAAAAAGGAAAATTCTGGGGGAATTTGCTGAAGGTTTCTATAGACAAGCAAGAGACCTTTTAGCATAAGACTAGGACTTCATACCACGAAAAAGAAAGGTTTTGTTCCTTAATAAAGGAGCCCTTTCATCGGGTGAAGGAGTTAAAGGCTTTTTTCTTTTCTTTTCTTAAAGAAAACTCTAGATTCTGTCTCGAAACACACACGCAACCTCTCTCTGCTGGTGGTTCAGCTGCAACCTCCAAATTTTGCCAGTTGCCATGGAAATCAACAAGAGATAATGTTATATATATGTACACAGGTTTTTTTTTAAAAAAAAGCGGGGGAGGAAGAGGTCAAATTTTCTTTTCTCTCAAAATGCAGCAAACTAGTCTTGTGTCTGTGTATGAGAACTTTGATATTGTGTTTTATTTTATATTGTGTTTTTATTTGGCGAGCCGCCCTGAGATCTGTGGATGAAGGGCAGTATACAAATTTAAGTAATAGTAATAATAATAATAATAATAACAGGCATGTAGAAAGTCCCAGCTTCGGTCCTCTACAGTGGAAGAGACTCCCTGTCTGAGCCCCTGCTGGACTGTGAGGACAATATTGGGCCTGCTCAGCCTCCGCCAACCTGGTGCCCTCCAGATCTTTGGCAGCTGCAAAACATCTGGGGGCGCCAAGTTGGCAAAGGCTGGGCCTGACTCGGCTAGGTGGACCAGTTGCCCGACTCCTTGCAAGGCGGCTTCCTCTGTCCAACTACAATTCCCAGGGTTCCTTGGGGCAGGAGCTACGGGTGACCAGGTGCCACACACAAATTGGGTTCCTGGGTCTGTATTTAGGCAGCAGATGGGAACATCTGGGCCTGTCTGCTTCTTCCCATCCCGGTTGCCATGATGCTGTTGCTATGTGGGATGAGAAGCTAACAAAAAGGCTGGTCACCTGACCAGGGGCTGGGAGATGGGCAGGCCAACCGGCCAATCCAGGCCATTTTTGCTACCAGGGCACCAGACCCCTGCATCTCCTTATAAGGAGGCTCTGAGGAGAGCCAGGGTGGCCTAGTGGTTAGAGCATCAGCCCAGGACCTGGAGAGATGCAGGTTCGAATCTGCACTTGACCACGAAGCTGGGTGACGCTCGCCGCTGCTCAGGCTCACCTACTTTGCAGTGTTGTTGTGGCGACGAATTGGAGAGGGGGTGAAGAGCTATGTATGCCCCCTTGATATCTTTGGAGAAAAAGGTATAAACCTCATACATATCTCAACATTTGCTGCTTCCCAAAATGGCAGCTTGGGAGGGGTGCGAGCCTCCATCTTGGAGCCCGAAGGCACAGACTGGGAGTGGGGGAGAATATAATAATTTAATAATTTGTTATTTATACCCCGCCCTTCTGGCTGGGCTTCCCCAGCCACTCTGGGCGGCTTCCAACAAAATATTAAAATACTGTAATACATCAGACATTAAAAGCTTCCCTAAACAGGGCTGCCTTCAGATGTCTTCTAAAAGTTTGGTAGAATAATAATATGAGGGGTCCACTTGCAAATTGGGGAGCAACTGAGGTTGAGCGAGAGAAAAGGCAGGCCATCTGCCGCCATCTTAGCTTGTCTGTCGTCTGGTGGGTTGGAGAAGGCCAGGCTGGTTAATACTGGCTATAAATAATACCTTTGGGGTGTCAGTTCTGTTCCTGATCTCCACATCAACATGCCATGAAGGTCAGACAACAGACAGCGTGAACTATCCAACGCCACTGTGACTTCCTTCCAACTATATCTTATGCCAGCCTTTGCCAAATGGGCTGCTTCGAACTACAACTCCCATGATGCTCTGCTCACCTGCTTGGCAATTTCCGTGAGGATTCCATCAGGGCAAACCCAAACATAGCCTGTTGTCAAATTTCTCAAACGGCAGGTGAATAACAAAGGGAATCTGCCCTGCTGATTTCTTCCACTTATCCATCAGGCTAACTATCTGCATCCCAGCTAGTTGTTACAAAAACTGGTTGCCGGAATTAGCTTTTTTTCTTCCTCCTCCCTCCTCCTCCTCCAACTCTTTTTCCTTTTGTGCTGTGTCTGTCAGACTATAATCTTGCAGCAGGACTGGGCTTTTTTAAATCTCCCTGTAAACATCGTCCTCTCCCTAGGGAACGGCAGCCCTGTGATGGCCAGCAGGGAATTTCCAGTAGCTTCAAAAAACTAAGTTTTCCAGGAGTCATTTGAGGAAGAAGCAACCGCTAAACGGGTTCGAAACTGGTGTGGCCTTGTATGCACACCCAGGGAATTTACATTTCCATGTGGAAATAGCAGGAAATGTCCAAGCTATTGCCAGAGGCAGATATAAGGCAGAGCAAATGGTTTCACAGCACAGCAAGTATGACATAGTGAATTGAGCAAAAGGGAAGGTGAGAGGCGGGGAGGGAAGGGTACCAATTTTTGGCCTCGCAGAGAGCATCGCTATTTGAAAGACCGAAGTCGTCCCCCCGCAGATGTACAACCCAACAAAGGCACATTGACCCTCAGCGCATTGCAAAGGATCTTGGGGTGCCTTTCCGGGGTCTCACACTGCTTCTGTGGCATCCCCGATAATACTGCAGCCTGCAAGCGATCGCTTTGGTCATCTGTGTGGCCATCCCAGCCGTGACAACACATCCTAAGGTAAAGGTAAAGGGACCCCTGACCATTAGGTCCAGTCATGGCCGACTCTGGGGTTGCGGCACTCATCTCGCTTTACTGGCCGAGGGAGCCGGCGTACAGCTTCCGGGTCATGTGGCCAGCAGGACTAAGCCGCTTCTGGCGAACCAGAGCAGCGCACGGAAACGCAGTTAACCTTCCCGCCGGAGTGGTACCTATTTATCTACTTGCACTTTGACGTGCTTTCGAACTGCTAGGTTGGCAGGAGCTGGGACCGAGCAACGGGAGCTCACCCCGTTGCAGGGATTCGAACCACCGACCTTCTGATCGGCAAGTCCTAGTCTCTGTGGTTTAACCCACAGCGCCACCCGCGTCCCATACAACACATCCTAGAAGGTTTTAAAAGAGGGCTGGACCAAATCACAGGAAGAGGAGAGGGCTATCGATGGCTACTAGACTCAGCCCCCAGAGGCAGCAATGATTCTGAATACCAGGTGCTAGAAACCGCAGGAAGGGAGATCGCTCCTGTGTTCGAATCCTGCTCGCAGGCTTCCCACAGGCATCTGGGAGAACAGGATGCTGGACTAAACACGCCATTGGTCTGATCCAGCAAGCTCTCCTTATGTACTCACCCTACTTTGCAAATAATTCTGCCCTTAATTAAGGGTCCCCCGCATAAACTGCCAGCACAAGGGACTCCACTGGGATCCCCCTGTGAGGGTTAGGGGACTGTGACCTTCGCTGTGGTCGCAATCCAGATTCAGGGCCTGGAGTTTGTAGTTTGCAGGGCAAAGGAGAGGTCCCATGGAAACATGAGAGGCCTCCTCTTTTTGCAATGCAAAGTGCAGGCACAGGGAGCTCAGTTCTGGAACTGCAGTGGGTCCTGTTCCCCTTGTGTCGGAGACACTGATCCTGATCAGACCCTATTGGCTGTCTTCGGCGGGGGGGGGGGGGAGAGACAGTGACCCTGAACTTAAGAAGCAGATTGATGCAGATCAGGTGATGTGCAATGTGGCCCTTACTCAGAATTCATTGTGTGGCCCCTCAATTTCCCCATCTCTTTCCTCCCTCTGCCTCCCACCGCAGAACTAAACCCCAAAGAGTAGCCAAAGCCCAAGGGTCAGGCCGGCGTCTTCCACTCCTGCCTCGAAGGAACCCTTTCCCCATCCTTTTGCACAAGCAGCACACCCGATTCGACTCCAGGAGGGCAAGAGGCGGCCATTCTAATGAGGACGGGAGAATTCTAGCAGCGGTTGCAAACGGACTTGGTGCTGAGGGCAGAGCTGAGCGAGGGCAGCAAGACCCCCAGAGTCTGGAAATGCGGGGGAAGGAGCTAGCCTCGTTAAAAAAATAAAAATAAACGAAGTACAAATGGTGGCACCTCCACACTTAATTAGTGCCCAAGGCGGACGGGCAGATCTTCAGACTTGCTTCTCCCTGTGTGCTCGCCTCTTAGACCCAACCCAATTTTCAAAAATTATTTTCCTGTTCCCCAGATCTTTCCGCTCACCCACCCCACCCAAAGCTTTTTGGGAAGTTCCAAAAAAAAAAAAAAATTCAGAATAAATGACACCAAGGGGTGTAGGAAACCCCTTCTGGCCTTTTCAAAAAACAGTGGCAGAGGTCCAGATACCTTTGTGGGTTCCTCCCTCGTTGCTTTATATTAAAAAAAAAAACAGCTCTGACAGACAGACGGATAGATTTCTGAGCATTCCACCTCCACCCACCTCGTCCAACACCTTCCTTGAGCCCGTCTGACTCACTGCAGCAAGCAGAGAAAGTGTTTTGGCAAAGGCCTGGCCTCAGAAGGGGACCTCCAGGCCACCAACCATCCATTGCCCTCCAGGGACCAGGAAGGAACAGGTGAATCCAGCCAGGTCCCCGGTCCTCGCCAGGAGAACCAGTCACCGGTCCAGGATGCGAGCAAAGTCTTCCCTCTTGGCGTTGCCCTCGTTCTTGAGGTCGGCGAAGACCTGGGTGAAGTAATGAGGGTCGGCGTTGATCCGGAGCATCTTGGCGCTCATGGCATTGATGATGCGCAGGCAGCGGTTCCAGAAGACATCTTTGGAGGCCTCCACCAGGAAGGGCTTCAGCGGGTAGGAGATCTCGTTGCCCATGTAGGAGTAGGACAGGTAGAGGCAGGTGAGCAGGGCGGCCTGCAGCTCGTGTTCGCTGGCCACCGTGTCCCCGTCGATCATCTCGCGGCACAGCAGGTAGACGAAGACCACGTTGGCCGGGGTGACGAAGGCCTGGTCTTGCCAACCCTGCAACAGCAGGGAGCGGTCCACGCTGCGCAGCCACAGGATGGGCTCGGTGGGCGACAGGTGCTTCAGGCGGAAGCAGCGGCGGCACAGGAACTCGCCCAGGCACTTCAGCAGTTCGCTGGTGGACGCCTGGACAATCACCCGCCGGGGGGACGACGCGGTGCCTCCTCCGACCACGCCGGGCTTGAGCGTGCCGGAGGAGCGCTTGGAGCTGAGGGGTGCCAGCGGCGGCTCGGCCCCGTCGAAGCTGGCGAGGTTGGCGCAGGAGAGGGACTTTTTGACGTTCTCGTGGTTCAGCTGGGCCACGTCCTTGGCGTGGCCGTAGTTGCCATTGTTCTTCGAGGGGCCCTTGCTGCCGCCCCCGCCACCCCGCGACCCCTTTTTCTTGGTCGAGGCCACTAGCCGCTTCCAGGTCAAAGCCGGGATGAACATGGAGTGTCTCTTGAGCCCCTTCTCGGCCTTCTGCCCACCGCCGCCGCTGCCCTTGGCACCCGCCAGGCCGGGGTAATGCGCCAGCGAGCTGGAGGAGCCGTCGTCGTAAAGGCTGGTTTTCCGCAGGCCCGGAGAGAGGGACAGCACCGTCCCCATGGCGTCAGAGGGAAGGGAAGGGGAAAGAGGGGGCGCTGGGACGGAGCAGGCGGGCGAGGGGCAGAGTCAAAGCACCCCAGGCCCACTACAAGCGACCACCCGCAGGAGCCCAGGCCTCATGGCCGGATTCTGCCTCGGTGGGGGTGTTCTCGCCTGGACTGGCCTCTGGAAGCAAAGTCACCTCCTGCTTGCCAAGGGATGGGCTGCCAGACCAACGTGGCCAAACACACCTAGCCCGGGACTTATCGGTGTTGCACCAGCGTCGTGCCCTCAGTGCCTGTGGCGCTTCTCATCCTGCAACTGCTGCTCCAGTCCACCCATTTGCAAACTTGCACGCTCGGTTTCCAGTGCGCACCTTTGCTGCGTCCTGGGAATAATTCCGAGTTTTGCAATTCAGTTTCCAGCCGCTGCAAAAAGCGCCGGCGCTCCTTTGACGGCCAGGCGGATTGCAAAGCTTGCAGGTGTCGTGTGTGTGAGGGAGGGGGTGCCTCCTGCCCCCCCAGATGGGGGAAATCCTTGCTGGTCAAAGCTGCTGGTTGGAGACAGGGCGCGCGCAGACGTCGCCAAGCGTTGCTGCGGAAAGGTGCTGTTGCAAAACCCCAGCTGCAACTGGGGGACCCGGTGGGAATCGATTCCCTTCCCCCCACCCCCACTGACCTCTTTTTCAAAAAAAACCTAGATCCTGTCCGATCGGTCCCCAGACGGACTCCTCCCGTCGCCGCCGGGGGGCGCCATGCCGTTTTCCTTCTCGTTAGTCCCTGGAAGAAGGCGCTTGTGCTGCACCCCTGGGGCTGCGTGTGGGGGGCTCCCCGTTTTTCCTCCCTCGTCTTCCTTGCAAACGGCGGATGGAGCCCCCGGGGCGGTCAGATCCTGCGCTCTCCCGACCACCACGACGCTGCTGCTGCTGCTGCCGCAATCGCGCCCGGCCGCCCCCTCTCCGGTGCCATCCGAGAGGAGCGATGGGGGCTCTTGTGGGGCGGAGAGGAAAATCCGGATTTTCCCCAGGAGAGCTGCTGCTGGTGGTGGGGTTTAAGTGGGGGGGGGGAGCGTGCAGATGCGCAGAGCCTCCGCCGCAGGAAGGATGCTGAGAGCCAAACGCCGGTTCGAAAGGAGAGCGCGCTGTGCAACCCGGGATCCTCTTCCAGCAGTGCGGATGGTCCGTGTTATTTTTGGGATGCGGGGCTGCGGAGCCTGGATGCGACCGATCTCCCTCCGGGGCTCCTCGCCGGCGGCTGCCTTTGGACTCGCCGCCTGTCTGGCAGCGTCGGATGGGGATGAAGCAATGAGATGCAAAAAGGGGGGGAGGAGGGAGGGAAAAGGAGGAGGAGGAGGAAGAGAGGGATGGTCCAGGGATGCTGAGCGCCCAAGATGCCAAACGCGCAGGCAAAGAGGATGGAGGCAGTCTCGTCTCTCGGGCTCCCCCCGCTGGCCCACCGCGGGAAGTGCAAGGGAGATGCCCGGAATGCCGAGTCGCAGCGCCGGCCCGTCCTTCTTAGAAGGACAGGGGCACCCCAAGGGCCATCTAGTCCAACCCTCTGCAACGCAGGAATCTCAGCTAAATAATAATGGAATTATAGAGTTGGAAGGGACCTCTAAGGGTCATCCAGTCCAACCCTCTGCAACGCAGGACTCTCAGCTAAATGATAATGGAATTATAGAATCGGAAGGGCCCCTTAAGGGTCATCTAGTTCAATCCCTTGCAATGCAGGAATCTCAATGCAAGCATCTGTGTCGGATGGCTGCTTAATAATAATAATAATAATATAATTTATTATTTGTGCCCCGCCCATCTGGCTGGGTTTCCCCAGCCACTTTGGGCAGCTTCCAAGAAAGTATTAAAAATACATCAAAATGTCACACATTAAAAACTTCCCTAATCAGGGCTGCCTTCAGATGTCTTCTAAATGTCAGGTAGTTGTTTATGTCTTTGACATCTGGTGGGAGGGCGTTCCACAGGGCGGGTGCCACCACCGAGAAGGCCCTCTGACTGGTTCCCTGCAGCTTTGCTTCTCGCAATGAGGGAACCGCCTGAAGCCCCTCAGAGCTGGACCTCAGTGTCCAGGCTGAACAATGGAGTTGGAGACGCTCCTTCAGGTCTACTGGGCCTTTGAGGCCCTTTAGGGCTTTAAAGGTCAGCACCAACACTTTGAATTGTGCTTGGGAAACAGACTGGGAGCCAATGTAGGTCTTTCAAGACCGGTGTTATATGGTCTCGGCAGCCACTTCCAGTCACCAGTCTAGCTGCCGCATTCTGGATTAATTGTAGTTTCCAGGTCACCTTCAAAGGTAGCCCCACGGAGAGCGCATTGCAGTAGTCTAAGCAGGAGATAACCAGAGCATGTGCCACTCTGGCAAGAGAGAGTGGGCAGGGAGGGTCTCATCCTGCGTACCAGATGGAGCTGGCAGACAGCTGCCCTGGACACAGAATTGGCCTGCGCCTCCATGGACAGCTGTGAGTCCCAAAAACCTCCAGCGAAGGGGAGTCTGCCACCTCCCAGGGGAGTCCTTCCATGCCACTGCCTTAGCTGGCACTGCGCTGCCCAAGAGGCAGTCTGAGCATGTGCAGAGTTGGTTTTTGGGACACGTGTCCTGTGCTGCTGCAGGGGGCGCCGCAACAATGCTGTAGAACGGAGCAAGAGAGATGGGGAGGCACCCAATTTTTGTGCTGTCCAGGGCACGGCTGGAATTTGAAAACCCAAAGCCTGCGAGTAGTGTGTGTATCGGGCAGATCTTTCCAAACTTTTCATGTTGGTGGCACACTTTGTAGACACGCATCATTTCACGACACAGTAATTCAGTTTTACTAGCAAACCAGAGGTTAAACTAACCCCTTTTATGCGACACACCTACACACTGCAGCCGACACACTAACATGCCATGACACACAGTTTGGAAAGCTCTGGCTTAGGGTAAAGCAGGGAGACGCGCCGCCTAAGAGGGAAGCAGCATTGGTGCAGTGGTAGGAGTGCCAGACTAGAATTGCAGAGAATTGCTGAAAAAGATGTTTTCAGCAGACCCCAAAAAGAGTGCATCTGCCTGATGTCAACAGGCAGGGAGTTCCACAGTTTTCCAGTGGTGATGATGATGGTGATGATGATTTATTTATACCCTGCCCATCTGGCTGGGCATCCCCAGCCACTCTGGGCGGCTTCCAACAAAATATTAAAATATAGTGGTACCTTGGGTTACATACACTTTAGGTTACAGACTCCGCTAACCCAGAAATATTACCTCGGGTTAGGAACTTTGCTTCAGGATAAGAACAGAAATTGTGCTCCAGCGGTGCGGCAGCAGCAGGAGGCCCCATTAGCTAAAATGGTGCTTCAGGTTAAGAACAGTTTCAGGTTAAGAACGGACCTCCGGAACAAATTAAGTACTTAACCCGAGGTACCACTGTACAGTAATGCATCAAACATTAAAAGCTTCCCTAAACAGGGCCGCCTTCAGATGTCTTCTAAAAGTCTGGTAGTTGTTCTTCTCTTTGACATCTGGTGGGAGGGTGTTCCACAGGGCGGGCGCCACCACTGAGAAGGCCCTCTGCCTGGTTCCCCGTACCTTGGTTGTGTTCATAAACACCCTGCAAAGCAATCAGTATTGAATGTTCAACAACCAGGTTGTCTGGAAGCGACCTGGCTATAAATGGAACATTTAAATCTCCTTCTGCCTCCTTCTTTCCAGCCCTGGGTGATCTATTCTAGAAGGATCAGCACCAGGAAGGTGATATTTGGAAGTAATTAACTCTTTTGGGGGGGGAGGGGGAGAGAAGAAGGGAAAAAACCCTCTTCCGCAGTAAAAATAGGCTCCTGCCTTCTGCTTGATTTTTCTATTTTGGTGGCGCCTTTGTCAGCCAGGAGAAGAAAGGGGAGGGAAGGAGCTGACGATATAAACAAGAAAACAAGCCCTTTCCCTTTTAATGCTAAAAGAGATGGTATATATCTAAAAGAGGACATTTCAGGACTAGGAGCGAGTTGCATAATCGCATGTGGGCTGGCCAGATGAGGGATAATTGCATGGGAGGAAAAGAGGGAGAGCAGCGAAGAGTCCCAAACCATTTTTAGAGGATGTATTGGTGAGAAAGGGCAAAGGTGATGGGCGGGCGAAGGGGGCAAGAGAATCAATAGGGGGAGATGGTCCTACAAAACAGTGCAGTGGCAAATTGGGAAGTGCTGCAAGATCGCTTTGTGACAGTCGAAGCCAAGCCCCCTTGCAGCCTCCCTAGGTCTAAGATTATAACACCCTTTTCAGATTATGTAATAATCTTACACTTATACGACAACAGTGATGGGGTGCATTGCAACAATCAAGGCAGAGCTCCATGTTCAGCTAGATCTTCCGTTTTCTCTCTATGTACATAGATGGGCAAATCACGGCTGTAGTCTACGATGAATGGTGGTATACAAATTTAGAAAATAATAATAATGGTGATGATTTGCGGTGCTCCCATATCTTCTTTCAGAGGGACTTAAGTTGTGTTTTCAGTGCTGTTTATCCATTTATTTATTGCATTTATAGTTTTACGTGGGGCTACCTTTGAAGGTAAGGGACGCAGGGGGCGCTGTGGGTTAAACCACAGAGCCTAGGGCTTGCCGATCAGGTCGGTGGTTCTAATCCCCACGACGGGGTGAGCTCCCGTTGCTCAGTCCCTGCTCCTGCCAACCTAGCAGTTCAAAAGCACGTCAAAGTGCAAGTAGATAAATAGGTACCGCTGCGGCGGGAAGGTAAACAGTGTTTCCGTGCGCTGCTCTGGTTCGCCAGAAGCGGCTTAGTCATGCTGGCCACATGACCCGGAAGCTGTACGCCGGCTCCCTTGGCCAATAAAGCGAGATGAGCGCCGCAACCCCAGAGTCGTCCGTGACTGGACCTAATGGCCAGGGGTCCCTTTACCTTTACCTTTGAAGGTGACTTGGAAACTGCTATTACGGTAATCCAGAATGCGGCAGCTAGATTGGTGACTGGGAGCGGCCGCCGAGACCACATAACACCGGTCCTGAAACATTGGCTTCCAGTACATTCCGAGCACAATTCAAAGTGTTGGTGCTGACCTTTAAAGCCCTAAACGGCCTCGGTCCAGTAGACCTGAAGGAGCGTCTCCACCCCCATCGTTCTGCCTGGACACTGAGGTCCAGCTCTGAGGGCCTTCTGGAGGTTCCCTCCCTGTGAGATGCCAAGTTACAGGGAACCAGGCAGAGGGCCTTCTCAGTATTGGCACCCACCCTGTGGAACGCCCTCCCACCAGATGTCAATAAACAATTATTATACTTTTAAAAGACAACTGAAGGTGGCCCTGTTTAGGGAAGCTTTTAATGTCTGATACTGTATTGTTTTCAATATTCGGTTGGAAGCCGCCCAGAGTGGCTGGGGAATAATTATTATTATTTTATATCCTACCCTACCGATAGGGGCGCGGGTGGCGCTGTGGGTAAAACCACAGTGCCTAGGACTTGCCGATCGTATGGTCGGTGGTTCGAATCCCCGCGACGGGGTGAGCTCCCGTCTTTCGGTCCCAGCTCCTGCCCACCTAGCAGTTCGAAAGCACCCTTAAAGTGCAAGTAGATAAATAGGTACCGCTTTATAGCGGGAAGGTAAACGGCGTTCCGTGTGCTGCGCAGGTGCAGGCTCGCCAGAGCAGTGATGTCACACTGGCCACGTGACCCGGAAGTGTCTGCGGACAGCACTGGCTCCCGGCCTCTAGAGTGAGATGAGCGCACAACCCTAGAGTCTGACAAGACTGGCCCGTATGGGCAGGGGTACCATTACCTTTACCTTTACCCTACCGATAGTGGGTCCAATGAGGCGGGTTCTGCACATGCTGTAGACGGACATGAGGGCCAGATGGGGCTTCTCAATCTGGGAAGCGAACCCCTCTAGGAGAAGGAAGACTCTGATCCTGAACCTCCACAGCCTTGTGGCTATATACTTGTTTGGGAGTAAACCCCCAAGGAAAAATCCATACCCACTGCCTTGAGGGATATATTTGGGAGAACAAAAGGCTTGGAAGTAAACCCTACACAAATCTGGAATGGAGTCCCTAAAACGGTTAGATGGTGCCTTCTGCCCCTCCTTCCAGCAACTCCTGCAGCCAAGCCAGTGCCAAACGTCCTGTTCTGCTTTCCTTTGGACCCCATCAGTGAGGCTGAGAGGGGGGTCTTGTCGTCTGGGCAGTCCAGGACCTCCAGACACACCGGCCAGGCTTGTGCCCCAGGGATGGGCACTTCGGTGCTGTTAACACAGCAAGAACAACACAGGAGGCAGCAGTTACCAGTTTGACCCCTTGTAAAGGTAAAGGGGTATAGGGGACCCCTGACCATTAGGTCCAGTCGTGGC